GTTGATATGGGCGAGAATCTCTCACCGCATGAGGGGACGCGAATGACGTATCTGTTCCTGGTGTGTGTGTATGCTTTTTTTTTTATTTTTATTTTTTTTTAATTCTATGAGAACAGGGCTGTAGTCCTCTAAGGCTATGGGTGTAATTCGTAAAAACACCGAGTTCTTATAAATCGTTTAGAAATTTTTCGTTCCAGTTCAAATTTATGTTGCTGGTACATGGGTGGGCTTTTTTGTATGTAGACCGTGATGTAAGACACCTTAAACTGTTTTTACTGTTAATGATGTACTGCTACGTTAGTCTGCTTTATAAGTATTTAACTGCTCTGGTCGAGTTTTTAATTTCAATATGATTAAACGTTCTTTTTATGCGTTCTTGTTAAAAATGATCCAAAGTTGCCAATTTTAGTAATTTCAATTTGAAGAANGTATTTAACTGCTCTGGTCGAGTTTTTAATTTCAATATGATTAAACGTTCTTTTTATGCGTTCTTGTTAAAAATGATCCAAAGTTGCCAATTTTAGTAATTTCAATTTGAAGAAAAGGTCCTGTTAGTACCTTCTTGTTACTTGATGAAAATTTTGCGGGGTTTGTTTTACCAGGGCGCATCATGACTCCTACTGGAATAAGCTATACCTTCTCTAGTTGAATCGTCATCAGTTTATCGTACATTATTCAGGCTATTGATTGGAAAAATAATTATTCTTAGGAACCTTAGTTCCTCTATTTTCAGAGGATGGGCGGTGGGCTCACTTCTTTCGGAGGGGTCGTTACTTACGGACTTTTACGATTCGTTGCGTGTGCGAACCGTTGGCCAAGCAATTGGCCAAGCCATTGGTAGCCGTGCATGGTCACCTAAAGCACTGACAATCTATCTTAACTCCATGTACTAAGTTTCTCCTCGCGCTTTTCTTTTTTTGCCCTCGGCTGTGTAATTGTGCGATATTTTCTACACAATAACTTCAATTGCCGAGCATGATAATACTGCACGTGGCTCCCACTGCCGACGACATACTCAGACAAGCATTCCAGATCATCTGGGTTTTTATTCCTAGATTTGGGTCGGGTTGTTCAAAGACCGATTAAGCTAACCCAGGATTAGAGAGAATTTTGATTTCAATTTTGTAGCTTTTCACGAAGGTGTTCTGTTTATATTTTTTGCCCTTCAGTTTTAAGCATGCGTAATCTCAAACTACACAAAACATAAGCGGTGGATAACATTTTTATAGAAGAAAAATTGTTACCCCGGTTAACTTGTAATCCTGGGTTAGCGTTAACCGGCTTTCGAACAACCCGGCCCTNCCCGAACAAGCATCTCGATGCAAGCTCAGAGTTTATTGTGATGGCTTTCATTGGGTAAACAAGACATTAGGGAGTTTAAGAAGCTACGAGGGCGACGCCGAGGGAAACGTCGATTAAAAAATGAATTTATATATTACCTACGAATCTCGCGATACTCTCAAGTCATATACTTTGTTTATGACTGTCAAAACTATCACGAAACTGAATCTGGGACACGGAGATAAATTTGAAATAGAAATTTAAAAAAATTAGCCCTTGTGGTTCACGTTGTTCAGACAACGCGGAATTTGGTCATTTCACGTTCTTGTTTTGCAGGGGACGGCAAGGAAATGTACCAAGAATCATAACACACGTGCACAGCCATTGTTTTGCTCATTAAACCTTTTGTTTAGCGACGTTCCCGTTGCCGTTGCCGTCGTGGCTTTCTTAAACTCTCTATTTACGTCTGCTCGCCGCGCTCAACATCCATTCGTAGGCACTCGGCTTTGGTATCTTTAAGTTCAGTTAGTAGATCTGAACTTGGTTCAGGGGGAGAGGCAGAGGAAGATTCATGTTGTGTAATTCGTTCATCATTGCGG